TGAGTGTGTGAGTCTGTGTGAGTGAGTGAGTCTGTGTGAGTGTGTGAGTCTGTGTGAGTGAGTCTGTGTGAGTGTGAGTGAGTGAGTGAGTCTGTGTGAGTGTGTGAGTCTGTGTGAGTGAGTGAGTCTGTGTGAGTGTGTGAGTCTGTGTGAGTGTGTGAGTCTGTGAGTGAGTCTGTGTGAGTGTGTGAGTCTGTGTGAGTGAGTGAGTCTGTGTGAGTGTGTGAGTCTGTGTGAGTGAGTGAGTCTGTGTGAGTGTGTGAGTCTGTGTGAGTGAGTCTGTGTGAGTGTGTGAGGTCTGTGTGAGTGAGTGAGTCCTGTGTGAGTGTGTGAGTCTGTGTGAGTGAGTCTGTGGTGAGTGTGTGAGTGTGTGAGTGAGTCTGTGTGAGTGTGTGAGTCTGTGTGAGTGAGTGAGTCTGTGTGAGTGTGTGAGTCTGTGTGAGTGTGTGAGTCTGTGTGAGTGTGTGAGTGAGTGAGTCTGTGTGAGTGAGTGAGTCTGTGTGAGTGAGTGAGTCTGTGTGAGTGTGTGAGTCTGTGTGAGTGTGTGAGTGAGTGAGTCTGTGTGAGTGTGTGAGTCTGTGTGAGTGAGTGAGTCTGTGTGAGTGTGTGAGTCTGTGTGAGTGTGTGAGTCTGTGTGAGTGTGTGAGTGAGTGAGTCTGTGTGAGTGAGTGAGTCTGTGTGAGTGAGTGAGTCTGTGTGAGTGTGTGAGTCTGTGTGAGTGTGTGAGTGAGTGAGTCTGTGTGAGTGAGTGAGTCTGTGTGAGTGAGTGAGTCTGTGTGAGTGTGTGAGTCTGTGTGAGTGAGTGAGTCTGTGTGAGTGTGTGAGTCTGTGTGAGTGTGTGAGTCTGTGTGAGTGTGTGAGTGAGTGAGTCTGTGTGAGTGAGTGAGTCTGTGTGAGTGAGTGAGTCTGTGTGAGTGAGTGAGTCTGTGTCAGTGAGTGAGTCTGTGTGAGTGTGTGAGTCTGTGTGAGTGAGTGAGTCTGTGTGAGTGAGTGAGTCTGTGTGAGTGTGTGAGTCTGTGTGTATGTGCACGTGTGGATCACCACACAAATGTTGTGAAACTCCCCGTGGTCGCTAAGGTCGCCATCTCCTGGCCTATCCAGGGTCTGGAAGCGCAGCAAGCGGAGACATTTCCATCTCGAGGGGATTTAATGTTTCCCCCTCGCACGCGTTGGTTCTCTCCCCTCACATGCATACTCGCTCTTGAATGGAACTGGGCAAACATATGCCATGCAATGGGGCCCATTGCCTCAAACATCGCCCATGATATATTTTCCTCTTAAGGCAGCCGTGGTATTAACGAATGTGTTCATTGAGTTTTATTTGTGCACCACTGCCAACGCGGTATCGACAAATTATCCCAATGTAGGACCACAGAGCTTGGGGATATTGTTGGTCGCGCCGGTTTCTGACTGGCTGCAACACCAATGCACAACATACAGCACTAACATACAACATGTATGTTGAACTTCTATCGCACCGTACGTAGCCAACCGCGATAATCGGAGGTGCTGGCTGCTGGTGAAGAACAACAAACTAAACACAAAAAGCAGTTCTAAAGAAATGGGTTGTCAAAGACATTTAAAAGTGCAGAGCTCCAATGTCTTCCAAATATCGGAAGGAAGAGCGATGGCCGCAGAAGCGCATCTGAAAGCGGCACGCGATGAGGTGCCCGCACCCCTCCTGACCCCCCCGGGATGCACCCCAGAGCCCCCCCCCAACCCCCCTCGGACCCCCTCGGCGAAGACAGCGCAGAGTGCCGCAGCTGCCTCGCCCGCACTGTGGCACTGCAGTTGTACCACGTGGCCACACGGCGGCGGTGGAGATTACTGATCGGGCGTCCGTGTTGGTGAGCTCATTGAGACGAGCAGGGGTCCCCAACCCCCGGGCCGCTGACCAGTACCGGTCCGTGGCCTGTTAGGAACCGAGCCGCACAGCAAGAGGTGAGCGCCTCTTTCCCGCACTGCGCACTTGTCTCAGTCAGCTTCTTTGAAAAGGGGGAAAGACCCAATCATGACCCCCCCCCCCGTCCGTGAAAAAATTGTCTTCCATGACACCGGTCCCTGGTGCCAAAAAGGTTGGGGAGCACTGATTTAGAGGACGTCCATGTTGGTTAGGTTATTTAGAGGACGTCCATGTTGGTTAGGTTATTTAGAGGACGTCCATGTTGGTTAGGTTATTGAGAGGACGTCCATGTTGGTTAGGTTATTTAGAGGACGTCCTTGAATTACGTTACGCACCTAGGGGGGGGGGGGGAGTCAGACATTTGTGACGATGTGTGACGAGGGGGGGGGGGTTGAGAAATGTGACGTCACATCAAAATGCGTAACTTTAAATAAATATAGTCAACACGTTCTACTTAATTAAATATACTTTTAATAAATGTTTTATCCTACAACATCATAGTGCAGCGGCACATTAAATACGCACTACAATGACAATACTTTAAAGCTATTTGAAGCGTGTTTTATTTTTTGTGGGGGGATGGGGGGCAGAGCTTTGTGACGTCATATTTGAGGGGGGGGGGTCTGACTTTTCGTGACGCCGTGTGACGAGGGAGGGTGGGGTCAAAAGTCGTCCAAAATCGCGTGACGTCATTTATGGACAGCCCCTTAGGTCATTTAGCTCATGAGGTTTTGGTCTCATTGCCACCTCCACCATGAGCAGAGGCCGCGGGTAGAGGCCACGCACCGACACTCGGGGCAGTCGTCCCAACTGTTGAAGTGGCGAGCTGCCGGCTTGGACAGGAAGGCCATTGTCCGTAGCGTCGCCTGTATGTGTTCTTCTTTAAAGGCCGCCGGGTTATTAACGAATGTGTTGATTTTGTTTAATTCGGGATTGTGTTCGTGCGCCACTGCCATCGCAGCCAGAGATTCACCCAGGAGAGGGTGCCGTGTATCCATGCACTCCAGTGACATCCGCAGGGCCAGGCTCGAGCCAGTGCGTGACAGAGTTATTTGCTGAACTTGATCCATGTCTATCAGAGTGGGTCCCTGCCAAGAGGACCTGGCAATTCATCAGTGTTGGTTCAAGCAAGCCTGACTGCTGATTAGTCACCAAGTGTCCAATCCTCACCAGGATGCTGCTTGTGTTGAATCAATGATGCTGCTGAGATCTACTCTCAGAAGGCTGACGGGATGAGTAGAACCACTCGCATTGTTTTTGTGGAGATACGGCTATGAGGAGGCAGTTATTGAGAGATGTCAACTACCTCGCCTGGTATACAGGGAGACGTGGGTTCGATTCCGACCCCGACACCTGTATATTTGGAGTTTGCGTGTTTTCTCCGTGGTCGCGTAGATTCTTCTACGGCTCCTCTGGTTTTCCCCTCCACATTGAGAAACATACGTTTCTAGTATTTGACATATATTTTCAGATGATGAGCCACTTCATTGAGATATTATTTGTGACCAGGTAGCTTCTGAAAAAGAGCTATTGGACCAGTGGGCCTTACCTGGTAAATAAAAAGTTTAGTTCGGGCCACCTCCCGCACCACGCTTGTGAGCACAGGGACACCGCGTGCTCACCTCCAGACCGCATCACCAGCTTATACCTCGAGCTCACACCTTGAGCTCACGCCTTGAGCTCGAACTTTCAGTTCACACCTCCGGCTCATCACCTTCTGCTGAGCTCCACCAAGCACGCTCGGCTCAGGTTCTTTAATCACGAATACAGCAGCCGCGTTGTACAGACTCCACCAATATTCAGGGACATCTCCACCGCCACTCAGGGACATCACCACTGCTCAAGGACATCTCCACCACTCACAGCAGGGGCAACGGACACCACCGTTGACATTTCACAGATGTGATTGAGATGGTCAGCTGTGATTTCAGGTGCATTTTGATGACTCCATGAGAACCGTTCTTGATCTGCTGAAGTAGCAGCGATAATCGTCGTGCCACTTTTTTATTTCGTCCCAGAGCACCCTGCACCGACCGGGTCGTGACAGTGACAGCAGCAGTAGCGACATCGTGGCGCGTCACTGACACGGCTAAACACACATGAGCGGAGATGTAGTGGCGGCTGCAGGCAAAGCGCATCCCTCACATGAACAATAAATCAAGCTACACTCTAGCCCACAGATATGTCAAAGACAAAGATCCCCCGTAAAGATTTAACAGACTGGCATGCGAGGTAGCCTCAGCTAAATGAGTACCAGGCACTAATTTGAGACTGAGTCGATCACTGGTGTTGGCCATGAGCGGAAATTTAACTCAGGTCGCTGGCTTCGTAGCGCAGCACGCTAACATGCAAAGGGTGCAGCGATGTTGTAATGTTATTTATTTTGTATTATTTCTTATTTGGGGTGGTGGTGGTGTTGGTAGGGGTCAAGGTGTTTATAGAGTTGGCGTTTGTAGGATAGGTAACGTTGATAGGACTGTTGTTGGGAAGAGTGATGGTGTCGGTTGGGGTGGTCGTATTGGTAGGAGTCATTGTGTTGGTAGGATTGGTGCTGGTAGGGTTGGTGTTGGTAGGGGTAGTAGTAAGAATAATGGTGTTGGTAGGGATGGTGTTGGTAGGGTTGGTGTTGATAGGGTTGGCGTTGGTAGGGTTGGTTTTGGTAGGAGTGGTGGTGTTCGTCGGAGTAGTTGCGTTTGGTCAGGGTAGCGGTGTTGGGAGGGGTGGTAGTGTTGGTGGGTGTGCGGATTCTAAAGGTGGTGGAGTTGGTAGGAGTGGTGGAGCAGGCATTGATCCGGGCCATGAAGAGTGATCTCTTTTCTCTCATGATCATGAGGCTGGACACATACTCAGCTGGGGTGATGTGGCTGGGAGTGGTAGTGAGGGTAGAGGAGGTAATGTTGGTAGGCGTGGGATTGGTCGAGGTGGTGGAGTTGGTAGGAGCGGGGGAGTTGGTGGTTGGGCTGGTGGGGATAATTGAGCTTATTGTAGTGCAGCGGGCATTGGTGCGTGCCATGATCATGAGGTGACACCACTCACGCTCAGCTGGGGTAATGGTGTCGGTCCTGGTGGTGGTGAAGGTGGAGAAGATGTTGTTGGTAGGGTTTGTAGGGTTGGAAGAGGTGGTGGTGTTAGTCAGGATAGCATTGGTAGAGGTGGTGGTATTTGAAAGTGTGATGGTGTTAGTCGAGATAGCAATGTTGGTCGGGGTGGGGTTTGTCATGGTGGTGTTGGTAGGAGTGGTGCTGTTGGTAGGAGTGCTGGTGTTGGTAGGAGTGGTGCTGTTGGTGGGTGCGCTGTTAAGTGTTGGTGAGCTATTCATCATGGAGCAGCCATCCAGCCGAGTCTTGAGGGATCTGTGGGTCCTCTTGATTTTCATGGGGTGGCGCTTGCCCCGAGCCAATTTCCACATGGATCCTCTCATGTGGCGGCTTCGGTAAATTCGTCCACGTTGCGATGACTTCTGTTTAAAACCGGAAACAAAATCAGTATGAGAGGCAAGAGATTGCAGTCTCCTTCTTCCCCTGTTGGTCACATCCACTCAAATATTTTTTTTCACTTGCCATCTGCCACACCACCACCATTGATTGAACACGGGTGTTGTACTTGCCTTTCAGTCGCAAATATCGGACAACTATTTGTAATCCACAGCATGAACAATGTGTGTGCTTGTAATAAATGTGTGCGACTTTGTCGCGGGTGTGAGTGTGATTTTTTATTGTTTGTTCTTGTAACGTTCTAACCTGCCTCTCCTGGACATCTGTGAAAAATAGCTTAATAGCTCATCGGATTCCTCCAGTATAAATATTCTGATTCTGATTTGTGTCATCTATGCATGTGAGATTATGACATTTGCCTGAGTGATCTATATCCACGATGCCTCTCTGGGTGTGGTGTCTCTGTGTGTGTCTGTTGTGGTGTCCTGCTGATTCTCTATGTGACAGTGAAGCCAGCACACTCTCTCTCTCTTACCAATTGATTCTTCCGCCAGACTCTTAGGCTGGTAATGGTGATCCCCGTGCTCTCCACGTGGTAAGTGATGGCCACCGGCCCACTGTGCAGCATCTTCATCAAGGTCGTCCACCTTGAGGGAGACGGGTATTCTCCATCTTGCGGAACCGTCATCCAACAGCCTAAAGAAGAAGCTGCTTGAGGTACCATCTCGGCCAAGTTCGACCGAGCCTTCTGTTTCGGGAGGTTGGTGGTGTGGACGGCCATTGCTGGCATGGCAGGAGGTCGCGGACGCCACTGTTGAAAACATTGCACAAGTATTTGTAATGTACAGCACGACAACAAGTATCTTTCCCTCTCTTTAGTTCAGCCTTGACTAACAGCTGGATTCTCGGCAATAAACAAAAGTCATTGGTCACGTGTCATGGCCCTGCGTAGTTTGATCCTCTGGTTTTTCCCTCCACATTTAGAAACATTTATTTCGATAATTTAGATTATTTTGCTGCTATGAATGTCCAAATTATGTCACTTTGTTGATCTATCATTTGTGACCAGGTTCCGTCTGAAAAATAAGTTAGTACCTCAGTGGGCTTTGTATGATGGGGGTGGTTTAGCTTTATTTGTTTGTTTTTGGGTGATTTTTTAACCTTTCATGTACTTTGCACTATTATCATGTTTTTGTAGTATTTGTTGTTGTAATGTTCTTACCAGCCCCTACTGGACATCTGTGAAAAAGAGCTTCATAGCTCATCGGATTCCTCAACCATAAATAAATAGTATTATTCTGACTCTACTGGCTGGGGAAATAGTTCTGTCCGCACCAGGGCAACTCACCAACGTCGCACAAGGACAGCTGAGTCCAGCACATGTCCCAAATGCCACGCTGCCAGTAACAAAAACACCCTTAAAGTTGCAGTGGATAATATTTAAGCATAATTAATTGAGCAAGGTGTTTGCGACTTTGTCTAGGATGTGTGTGTGGATGTAATATATACTTGTGTGTGTGGTGTATGTGTAGGGGTGTTACGGGAGGGCGAACAAACACACGAGGGGTGGTTATGCCCGCACGTGGAAGGATGCTTACATCCACGTCCGCATCGGTTAGCCCTGGGGGGCTGTAACGGCGCTGTGATCTCCCACGGCCCCACCCCTCGTGGGGGAGTTGCTATATAAGGCGGTGAGCCGGTGGGCACGGGGTTCAGTATTCAGCTTAACTAGTGAAGAGTGAAGACCGGCTAGATAGGCTCTGGGACTCCCCTGGATCGCTGTCCTTCTAAGGACCGACCAGGGCAAGCCGGTGGCGTGGCCCCGAGAGCCCAGAGCCGATGCTCTGGTAAGAGCCGGTCTGGTGACTAAGGGTGCCGTGATCCTAGCTTGGCCAGAGCTGGATCAGCTAGCCTCCCCTAGCTCTCGAGTGGAGGACCTGGGAGTAGGCTAGCCGGGCTAGAGTTAATGGGGTCTCCCTGTTAGACAGGTGAAGGGGCCGTTACCCCTTCGAGTGTTGTATACATTGGCCTGTGCTGAGTGAAACATTATAATAAATAAGTGTGCCTCCGACTACGTCGTCTACGTCTCATTGAACCTACTACATATGCGAGTGAGATTCTTATATCTACGCGAGTGATCTGTATGCGTGATACATCTCTGCGTGTGGTGGCTCTGCCTGTGGTGTCTGTTGCGGTGCCATGCTATGGTCTGTGTAATCGTGAAGCTGGCACTTGTGGGGGCCGTCGGCCCCCGGGGTCCCGTCGGCCCCCGGGGTCCCTCCCGCCTGTATCCCCTATTCGTTTACGTTACCCCACCTCCCTATTACCCGCTATGGTTTCGCCGGCATTCGAACGCGACACCCCTACGGTTACAGCCTCGCGCCGCGCTCCCACGCTGCGAGCATACGTGCGCACATCATCGTCGATCAAACGCCGTGCTCGCAGTATAGCCCTGTGCGGCACGTTCCCAATGCGCATCCGTATTATACACGTAGTGAACGTGCGCGCACACACGCATACAGCTCCACACGCGATACCCACTCTTGCGCCGCTCTGCGCAGCGCTCGCCGCCTGCTGGCCGCTCACGTTATGAGCGCGCACCTGGGGGACGCCAATTACGCACGCACGCCCACACACACGCCGCTCCGCGCACTCCAACTCAACTCACGTTATACTCGCGCACCTGTATCACACACGGAGTGAACACACGCGACACCCACTCTCGCACCGCTCTGCGCAGCGCTCCCCCGAGGCGAGCCGCAGCACCACAGAATCACTGCGTACCCACGCGCAACCCGCGCGCTCAGCTCCGCGCAGCGCTCACTCACGTGGCGAACCACTGTGCACACAGCGCACCCACACGCTCACACTGCACGACAAGATCACGCGAGACCACGCTTCGCTATTAATGATTTATTATATGCCACCTGCGAATTGATGTGGAATCAGTGAGTCGACGAGGCTGGCCTATTCCACTAAACCTGTACCTATTCCCTATTTATCGGCTTACGATACCCTACTTCACCTCCCCACTCACTGTTTGGTGCCCGCGGAGGTTCGCTGCTCTCTGCGCTAACAGCGTACCTCGATGCGTCGCACGGACGTCCGGGTCGCTGGCTGGAACTCCTGCTGGTCCGCTGGCCTGGAGAGAAGGGGCGATTTCCCCTCTCCGCTCCTCTATTTATCCTCCCTACCTCAAAGGGGATGCTGCGCTGAACAATGGGCTCGTGCACCCCAAGCCCGCGCACGGCGGTTCCCGGGCGCTGTTGATATGCTAATCAGTGCGCGACGTTGGCGGCGTACATCCTAATTACTCCCTTACCCTTCCTAACAATGGGGCCTGCGCGCTCAAGCGCAATTATCCCAACCCTCCATGACTATGCGCAACAGCCCCTGTGACCCCGCTATTCATGCTGTCTCGTGCCTCCCCTGCTTGCCCCGTCGACTCGTGGGGGTGTGTGTGGGGGGAAATGCGCCTCAACCGCAGTGGCCGAATGCCCCACGCCGCGACCACACCATATTAAGGCCAGCAGCAGCGCCGCGGTACCACGTAGCACGGGGGAGGTCATCCAATTCCCTGATCGCCGGAAACCGTGAGAATTAATCCCGATAAGGGTCTCTCGGATAAAAACCGGTCGATCAGGTAACCTTCCCTTCCAGCTCTATGGGGGGGGGGGGGGGGATGCGTGCGGGTGTGTGCTTATGTGGGGCGGGTGATGGGGGGCAGTGCGGTGGGGGAAGCCGGGCGGCTCCCTGGCTCGGCAGAGCGGCCCCGTCGCTGTGGCACCACATAGCCCCCCGGGGTGCCAGTCCCCGTCCCGGGTTGACTTGAGCACCTCGCCTGGGTTGCCCCCACGAGGTATCGCCGCGGGGTCCGCGGGATTCGCCCGGCCCTTGTGGCTGGCCTCGGGGGTGGCGGCTCCGTCTCCTGGGGCTCCGGCGGTGGTCTCCTCCTCCATTCCAACGGCTCCCCTCGGCCGCTGGCACCTGCGGGCTGGGGAACAAACTCAGAGGCGGTGGGGTTTAAGGGTCGCCGTCCTCGTCGCCCCCGGCCCCGCCCGGGGCCCCTCGGAGCCCTGGGCTCCGTGGGGCCCATATACTGCGCGAGGCCCCCGGGCACGGGGGATGCGGGTACTCCGGGATTTCGGGGCCTTCGGGTGACGGGGTTCTCTCTCGCCGGGGCCGCTTTCCACGGTTTTAAGCGGCGGACATTGACCACCGTCTCTCGACCCCTCTCCCCGCCATCAATTAGTACCGTCCAGGGGGAGATCTGTCGCACCACGGTCCAGGGTCCCCGCCAGTAGGTCGTCAGTTTCCCCACCTGCCCGGCCCCGACGCGAGGGGTGTGTAGCCACACCTTAGCACCTGTCAGGAATAAGGGGGGTTCCATGCGGGGTTGGGTGCCCTGTTCCTGCCGCCGATGCGCGGCTTCCCCTTGCGGGTATGCTCGGCCTCGGGCTTCTCGTAGGGTCTCCAACAGGTGTTCCACGGGGCGGCTTCCCTCCTCCGGCTGGGGGGAAGGGACGCCGAATAGCAGATCTGCGGGTAAACGAGACTCACGGCCGAACATCATTAAAAACGGGGTTTGTCCCGTCGACGTGTGTACGGTGGTGGCGTAGGCGAAAAGGGCGTAGGGGAGGTGTTCATCCCAATCCCGTTGATTTGCGGCCGCCATACGTTTGAGTTTCCCCGATAAGGTCTGATTCATGCGCTCCACCATCCCGTTCGCCTGGGGGTGGTACGCTGTGGTTCGGTCCTTCTGGATTCCGAACTCTCGGCACAGTGCCTGGAACAACTCGGCCTCGAACTCGCTACCCTGGTCGGTGAGGACTCGTTCTGGGATCCCGTGCTTAAGTACGTAGTGTTCCACAAATGCCCGGGCCACCACCAAGGCCGTTTTATCAGGGATGGCCACTGCCACGGGGTAGCGGGTGAAATACTCTACTGTGACTAGGATATATCGGTTGCCTCGATGGGATCGCGGGAATGGCCCCTGTAGGTCGATCCCGACCAGCTGATTCGTGCGGCTGACGCGGAACGGCCTTAGGGGTACCTGGTATCGTGCCGGTTTCGGCCCGCACTGCTGACAGGCGCGGCAGCCCTGTACCCAGGCCGCCACGTCTTGTGCCAATTTGGGCCAGAGATACTGGCGACGCAGGGTCTCTCGAGTACGTCGTTCCCCATCGTGGCCCCCGAGTGGGTGGTCATGCACCAGCCGTAGCAGCTGGGGTCGCACCTGGGCAGGAACACAGATGCACCCCGGCTGGCCGGCCTCGGTTAACTCCCGTACCACTCCGTTCTGCACACACAACCGGGCATACAAACCGCTCCAGGGTCCTGGTAGGGCGCTCTTTTCCTCCCGCAGTGCCGCCTCCACTGCCGCCAGATCCGGATCTCGCTGCTGGGTCTGTCTCAGCTGCTCGTCGTTTAGGCCCGGGAAGGCGCAGCCGACGTCCTCCTGGATCCGTCCAATCGGGTCCCGAGCCGCGGGTCCCGCGCTTGCCGGGCGGTCGACGGGATCCTCAGTGCCACCTGTGAGGGTTTCCGTGGCGCACACTGCACTCTCTCTCGCTGGGGGGGGGTCAGTGGCCGCGGCCTCTCGGGGGTCCGTTGCCTGCCGGCAGCGTCCCCCCGTGAAACACGGGCAGGCCTCCTCCGCCCTCGTCTCGGCGTACACCGTGGGTCGCCTCGACAAGGCGTCCGCGTTTGCATGCGTCCGGCCAGCCCGATACTCGATTTGCAGGTTGTACTCCTGCAACTGCGCCAACCACCGGGCCATCTGCCCCCGCGGCTCCTTGAATGTAAGAAGAA